CCTGGATTTCTTTAAGGGATAAAACAGGCCAGAACAGTTTGCCTAAAGGGACCTAAATAATAATGTAATTGATTAAAAATGAAACATAACCTGAGCTAGTTCTCATTGGCATCAATCTTTTGGAGGGATGCAGCTCTGTATTATCCAGATTTTATCCACAACATTAAAAAAATGTATTCAGATCAGAATTCTTCCTTCTTTACATATATGATCACATTATTTTAAGAGGTTTTGTGTTTTAAAGAGTATATTAACCTAAAAATGGAGACACAGTGATAAAACCCACCCCAGAGCACATCTGAAGGGTTTGAGTTTAATAAGTACCTCTTACATTTTCCATCAACTGATTGAACTTAGCTCCTGTTTCTTTGAACCTCTTGTTCTCACTGAAAGCCATGCTGACACGCTTTAAAAGCATACAAATAGCTTCTGCTGTGACTAGCTACACAATGTATTATGTTCTGTAATACGCATTTCAGTTCATGAATGCCTGAGCTAACAGAGGTAATGAAGAGCTAAATCTCTGATATTACTACTTGTTTTTCCATTTGTTTCTTCATGATGCACAAGATCTGATTCTTTGGCACTTCACCAAAAGCATCTGAGGCTGGAGGTAGGTATAACTAAAATTGGAGTGTATTACATGCCTAAGGAGATGCTCAGAATTGGGCTGCGGCCAACCTAATGCATTAAGTTGTTTGAACTTTGTTATTTTATTAAGGAAATGGATTGCAGATTTATCACTTATTTAGCATTGATAGCGTATGACCACCTGTTCTGTTGCAACACCTCACTGTGATGGGAGACACGCAAGTGCGTGACCCCAGGAATTTACAGGCTAGGCAAGATAAAACCAGTAGGTTTTCTGTAAAATTTTCCAGTTTAAAGGGGAGGACATGATTGGTGCTGCACCTGAGGCAGTGAAGAAGCACGGCTGAGATGCACTGGCGAGGATGATGGGATGCAAAAACGGAAGAACACACATTACACACAGAAGGGGTGTTGGGCAGAAGTCATTTCTATAGGCAGCACTACTTCCTGAAGAGATCAGAGGGCATGAAATCCAGCTGGAGAGGTTGGTGTAATATGGTCTGGAGCCTAATGGACATGGGAGAGCACTTCAAAGAGAGCTCCACGTGGGATTAGGATACCCCGGAGGGAGGGTGCTTTAGCTGAGGAGGGAAAACAGGGAGGTATATGTCCCTGAGGTTGAAGAGGTGGGGAAGATCAGCTAGTGGAGTCGAGGAGTGGGGAAAAGAGCA